GTAGACTTACTTCGTTTAATAACTCAAATTCTACGTCAAATTTCAACGATCTAAATATTGAATTTAAAGTTTTTAATGCATAGATTAAGTATGCAATTTTTTAAGAAAATTAGAGATTATTTGATACTTCATTTTATTAATTCAAATTGATAGATAATCATAAAATCATTTTATACATTAATTTGAATTAATGAAACAAAGTATCAAATAATTTTTAAATTTTTCAAAATTTGCAGATTTGATTTATGCATTAAGAACTTTAAATCCAATAGTTGAACGAAGTAAATCTAAGTAAACTTACTTTTAAAATAAACGAATCGTTATTTATATATATATATATATATATGTGTGTGTAACATTAACTGCTACCAGGCCAAGAATGGTAAGATGAAATGCTATCATCAAGATAAAAACAATAATAAAAAGCTCTATTATACTACCTGCCCCACTCATTAAGAGCCATAGATTAAAGATAACAAAACGAGGAAGGAGACAACAAAACTTTTATTTAAAATATACATGACATTAACTTTTAGTAAAAAAAATCATGCAAACAATACTCTTTGAACTCATATATAAACATAAAAAAAAAAATTAAACTTAAATATAAACAAATTTTGACTAATTTAACTCTATTTAATATTATCATTTCAAAAATCACTTTTAAATTAAATGTAATTATTGTTTTCAATAAATATTATTAAAGATAATTTAGAAAGTAAAATTTAATTTTATATAAATCAATAAAATTAAATAAATTTAACTAATTTCTTTAATATGTGTGAATTTAGATATTTTATTTATATACAATATGAGTCCAGAGGAAATACTTATTAATTCTTCTTGCGTAAGTATGGATATTACTAAAACAATCATTGACATATTTTTCTAACACTTTTTATTAATTAAATTTTATTAAAAATTATAAAATGATGAATAGAAATTTATTAAGGAGTGAAAGTAAATTTCTAATAATGAAAAATATTTTAAAGAGTATATTAAACAATGCGTTGAGAAGGAAAGAAAGAAATAAAAGCAAAGATGTGTTATTAATTTATTTGATTAGTCAATTTGGTCCAAGTGTTACAATGGAATTATTTTTTTAATGATATAAGGGCTATTTATCAAGTGCAGTAATGTGCTATTTATTTGGTCCAAGAATGTGTCCAAGTGCAGAATGTGCTGTTTATTTGGTCCAAAAATGTGTCCAAGTGCAGAAATCTATACTAGTTTTCATGTAAATTTGGTTCAAAAATTCGTTATCGCACAAAAAGCATGTGCTCTTTAGTCTTTATTTGGTTAGTCACATGCATATTATTAATCTTTAGTCTCGTGGCAAAGCTTATATTGCTACAATGTTTTAAAAAACGGATTACTAAATTAATTAGTGTATTGAATTAGTAAATTAGAAGTTAAATACATGGGTTTGAAGTGAATTATTTAGTTCCTATTAGTTATTTAAAAAAATTATATCAAATATTTTATATCTATAAATTTTAACAACAAAGCATTAGATGTGTTCAGAACAAAGCATTATATATCAAATATTTCATTTTAAAAAGCAAAGCTCCTAATTTATCTTTGTTTCAACTTTTTCTGATTTTTTTATGACTCGATTATTGAGATAGCTAGTCCCAAGATTTAACGCGACTGTATATACAAAGCAAAATTCAAACTCTTGACCTTATTTAAGCGTGAATCAACCTCTACCGCTGAATTACACGCTTGGAGTTAACTTTTTCTAATCTAAAATACCTATTTAAAAATGTTAAAATGTGTTCAGAACAAAGTATTAAATGTTTGGAGTGTTAAACATGCATCCAGGACGTTATCAGCAGAAAAGTTGTGGAAAAAGAATTGAGCATCTTCCGATGCCTTTGTTGCACCATTCTCATTTCTCACGCACCTTAGCTTCTCCATGTGCTGTCTGCTTCATATCATACCTCAGCCAATTTAATTTATATTTCATTACTTCAACTTACATATCACTAACCAACAAGGCAACAACATTTTCGGTTGAAAACTTACATACCTGTCTTAAGGGTTCTACGCAATTACTTAGTTAACTGAAAAAGAAAAAACAAAGTATATATTAAAGGAAGTTCAAACCTAAATTTATTAGGTGATAACAAGTGAGATGTATAAAATTTGTTAAGTGGGAATAATAAAATATTTTATAATATTTTTTATTAAAATTTATAATAATTTTTTTAGAAAAAGCATATTTTTGTGATAAAAATTTTAATATATCTAATTTTTTATAAATTAAATTTTTTTCATAAATAGAGTAATAATTTCTTTTTTTCTTTTTTCTGTCTGATATTATATTTAAGAGTAACTTTGTAATTTTTAGTAACTTATTTAATATTAGAAGAATAAAATGATATAAATTATTAAGATAAAGATAGTATAATTACTATTTGTTTTCTTTTGTATCTCCTCTAAATTTTTATGTTCATTTAAAACAAAAATATTTTATGAGAACAATGCTTATTTTTTTATAAGTGTAAAATTATTTTTTCTTAAATATGCTTAAGTAAAAAAGTTAAAATTTTGTGTAGTAATTACTCTCATTCTTCTTAATTTGGATCCTTTCCTA